AGTTAAATTGAGTGCTCCAACCTCTGTCTGTTTGGGCTTTCCATATTTGAATTCTGCACACAATGTATTGACATGTTATTTTTAAACACAAAATAACTAAATCATTTACATCTCCAAATCATTATAAATTCAACAGCAGCCAGACTCAGGTCCATTCACCAGCTCACTGATCCTTCCTATGATTTCACAAATTATGCTGGTTGAACAATGAAATTAAATTACCTCGAGTCTTCTTTCTAGTTGGACGCAAAGCAACCTGTGAAGATAAAACAAATAAACTGCAGCATTTGGCTTCGCAGATTACAGACGTTTAGAGCATTTGGTATGCATGCAGTCAGCTCAGTCAGGAAATCTTTCACTAATATCTGACTGTGACTGACGCACAGCACAAAAGAAATCAATTATCAGGATTTCAGTGAACATCCTGTTGCCTGTAACCTAGTCTTCACACTGATACCATGTAACAAACAACTAAATGACACCAAACTAATTTGGCTGAAGAAGTTAAAATGTATTCCAGATTGCAAATTGTTACTTACAGTTGAGTTTCCATTTGCTGCTGCAGTGGCTGAGACAGAAGACGGGGTGGGCTGTAATGAAAAAACAAGTTTTAAAACAATTTAGAGACCCATGCTATTTGAACTAAGTCGACACTTGCAAACAGGAAGTGACACAAATGAAGTGTGAATCTGTGGGGTTTTTTTGTGCGGTTATTATACCTCAAAAATTAAATTTTCTTATACCATCAACTTTGTTTTAACAATCTTTAAGGGCATGAAATTCCTTTATCCTATTGTCTAGTAATCCTCCCCATTGCCTTCAAAGAATTACAATTTCTAGTCTTTTGAAGGAAATCTGATTATTTACCTTTGGAATCCATGTAATTTTGAGGATCCACTCACACAATCAGCTGGACCAATTTCCAGTCAGCAGCGTGCATTTGTAAGTCCACTCAAACAGGATTTAGTTACAAGCAAAACAAAGTGTTGAATAATGAGTAACCCCTATCAAAGTGACTAACTCGGATCTTTCAGTATGCAAAGTATAAACTTGCATCTAGATAGTGACACTATAGTTTCCCCCAATGTTTCATCTAGTTAAGGCTGAGTACTGTAAACAGAGGGACCCAAGTTCAATAGTTGCTCCTTGTCAAATTCATTTGACTCAGCTGGAATGGTGCAAGACATAGTGACTCCAAATTAGAGAAATAAATGAAAACAGAAATTGCTGTTTAAAAAAACTCAGCAGGTCTGGCAGCCTCTGTGGAGAGATAGCAGAGATAATGTTTCAGGTCCAGGAACTCTTCTTCAGAACTGATTGTAGCTAGGAAAATGTTAGTGTATATATGATAAAGATATGGTGGAGAGGAGGGAGTAGTAAATGACGGGTGGAGGGGGAGCTGAGAAAGAGAAAAACAACTGGATATACAAAGGAATGGGTAAAAGTCAGCCTTGGAGAATAAATAACTGCTAATGGAGACCATTAGTGGCTGCCAATAGTTGTCTGTGGTAGCAGTGCATGTGATGACAAGTCCTAGCGTATGGGGATTGGGGTAAAGACATGGGAGAAGGTGCTCAAGCCCTAAAGTTGTTGAACTCAATGTTTATTCCAGAAGGCTGTAAGGTCCCCAACTGGAAAATGAGGAGATGTTTTTCCAGTTTGTGCTCGAAATAACTCCACAGAGGCAGGTATCCCATCGCCAAGTCACCCCTTTATTACACATGCATAGTGCTGATACTAGTCTGGCTTCCTTAGATCCCGCGCTCAATGACTAGAATCTCTGATACTCCTATTTATATCTATCAGCCAGGGTTCCCTGATTGGGGTTATTAACCTGGTACAATCAGGGAACTCATATTCTATGAGGTCCACCTGGCTGACATCATTACAATCACTCCAGCACTGAGCTTTGCTGGAACATGCAGCAAGCCTGAGACAGAGATGTTGGCAACCAGAAACTCAGGGACAGAACATTGTTGTTCTGTAAAGTGGTCGCCCAGTCTGCACTTCATCTCCCCAGTGTACAGGAGACCACATTGTAAGCAGCAAGTACAGTGGATTGAGTGAAGTGCAGGTAAAGTGCTGCTTCACCTGGAAGGTGTGTCTGGTGCCTTGGATAGTGAGGAGGGAGGAAGTAAATGGGCAGGTGTTACATCTTTTGTGATTTCATGTGAGGGTGCCATGGGACTGTTGGGGGTTTTAGGAGTGGAGGAGGAAGGGACCATGCTGTCCTAGAGGAAACAGTTCCTGCAGAAGGCTGACAGGGGAAAGGAGGGGAATATGTATCTGGTGGTGACATCCTGCTGAAGGTAGCAGAAATCGTAGCTAATGATCTTTTGGATGTGACGGTAGTTGAGGATGAGGAGGACACTATCACTCTTGTGGAAGGGAATGGGTGGGGGTGAGGGCTGAAATGTGGGCGATGGGTCAGACACAGTTGAGGGCCCTGTCAGTCACGGTGGTGTTTAGAGAAACAAACAGTCCGGTGTTCCTATTCCTGACTGCTATGGAGCAGTGCCTGTTGAAAGCATCCATGTAGACAGCAAAGATGTAAACATCAGGTCGGTTGTAATGACTTCAACAATTATAAAGCATACCTACTTTCACCATTTAGTTAGGAACATATGAGCAGAAGAATATTATTCAGCTTAACATCCTTTCAGAAAGGAAATCTACTGTCCCTACCAAGTTTCTATGTCTCTACACATGACTTCAGACTCTCAAAAATGTGGTTGACTTTTAACTACTCTCTGAAATGGCCTAGCATGCCAACTATTAAACTGTAAAGAAAAATTCCAAGTATAACACTCGACAAATTATTTGCCATTATCCAAAGCACCAGACACTACAAGTTGCTCCGAGCGCAATCATTCCTGCAAACACCTTCTTGTTACCATATGGGAAAAAGTATCAGAATTGAAATAGCTTTCTCATAGACAACACAAGTACAGTCTAATATAATTATAGTCTCCAAATCATATCTTTCAGCTAATGGTCTCGATACTTTCGTTGGCCGAGGTGGTGCAGCAGTGCTTTGTAGGTTAGGAGGATGTGACTAAGCTGTCCCTCATGGGACCAGGTCAAAAAAAATCACGGAAATCCCCTGCAAATTGTTACCTACAACCTTCCATTAGCTGATAAAACAGTACACCTCCACATTGAATGCCATTCGGCAGAAGCACTGAGGTTTGAAGGGGCACAAAATGGACTATGGTGAGTCAATGTCAATCATCAAAAAGCAGTTCCATATCATCATTACTGAATTGGCTGGCTGAAACCTAAAAGACATGTGTACCAGTCTAGGCTTGCAGCAAGAACTAACATGAGATAGATACCTACATGACCTTATCTTCAGTGATCTATCTATCACAGACACTATTTTCCATGACAGTATTGATAGCAGTGACCACCACATGGTCCTTATTGATTAATGTCAAGTCTTTGCACTGATGAGCAATCAGAACATTCTACTACTTATGTTAGTGCTAAATGGGATAGATTCAGAACAGATCTAACAGCTAAAAAATAGGCATCTGTGATGCACTGCAGGCCATTAGCAGTAGTAAAAAACCAGAGGTCATAATACGACCATGTGAATCAGGAGTGGAATTCAATAAGATCATTACTGATCTGTTTGGTCTGGAAGTTCTTAAGTGTACAGTGATAAAGTACTCATGAATAAGTCCCAAAAAATTAGCATGTAGGTACAGCAAATAATTAAAAATGGAATTCTATCCATTATTATGAGCGGAACTGAACATAGAAGTAAGGCTGTTACGTCTCAGTTATACAGGGAACTTGTGAAACCACATCTCAAATACTGTGTGCAGGATATAATTCCATTTGGGAATATTCAGAAGAGGTTCACTAGATTGGTTGTTGTAGTGAGCAGGTTTTCTTATAAGGAAAGGTTAGACAGACTGGATTTGTTTTCATTGGAGTTTAAAAGGGTGAAAGTTGACATGATTAAAGTATATAAGACCCTGAACGGGCTTGACAAAGTGTGTATAAAAGGATACTTTCTCTGTGGGTCAGTTCAGGACCAGGGGCAATGCTTTAAAATTAGGCAGTCTTTTCGGATCAAGATGAGGAGAATTTTTTTCTCTCAGAACGTTGTGCAACTTTGGAACTCCACCACAGAAAGCAGAAGTAGTTACATTTTCATTTGGCAGGGGAATCTAATGTTATCAGGAGTAGATAGGAATTTTGAAATTTGAAACATAAACAGATCAGCCATGATATTATTGAATGGTGAAGCAGACTTGAGGGGCTGAATGGTCTACATTCACTCGAATTTGTATGTTTCTATGATCAACACAGACAGCACTGAGGGAGACACAACTTCAACTATGAAAGGTCCACAGGTGAGAAGAAAGATCCACCCAAACTGTCAAAAGTCATGGCTGTGATAACAATACTTGTGGATTGCTTAAAAAGCCTGTGTTTATAAATCACATGAAATTGCCTTTATTGGACACCTGACACAAGAAATGACTTTTTCTGGGGAAGTCACAGAGAATTGATGTTAATATTAGAGTGCTAACATCAAAATCAAAGGACATCATACTGACTTTAAATTAGATACAGGAGCAAGAGTTACCATTCTGTCTGATGAACATCAATTCACCTAGCAAGCTGCAACAGCTAGGAAGAACCAGCCTCAAAGCGGAAGATCAGCAGGTAACATAATATTCAGACAACATTAAGACACAAGGCAAGAAAGTCTCAGAAACACTGTGTTATCTCCAACTATTCATGGTGATTGCCAAGCAGGATCCCTGATTGCCCAAGTCATTTGATTGTTCAATCCTGGCAAGGTCTCCCATCTACTCCTAAAAATGGTAAGAAGTGAGGCTGCAACTGGGATTAGTTTGCCAGTCACAGACCACATCATGCTTTGCTATGCGGCCAGTTCCCAAATGTGTTAACTTAGCACATTTAAACAAGTCAGTACAACAAGATAAAAATCAAAATGTTAACTCTGATTTTTTTCTTCACAGATGCTGCCAGACCTGCTGAACTTCCAGCAACTTCTGTTTTTTTTCCAGTACAACAAGAAATACACTCAATGGCATTTGTGAACAACAGTCTATCTAAACTCATAAAACAACACTATCTTCACCAAGCTAAAATCGAACATTGGATTATGGCAATTTCTGCTAGATGAGAAATTCAACTTCTAAATCTCTTCATAATACCTCTTTCAACTGTCTGTCTTTTGGAATTATGTCCACACAGGAGATTTTCCAAAGGATAATGTCCAACGTATTAAAAGATAGGGAAGGCATCATATGCCTCATAGATAATAGATAAAGACCAAAATGGCAAAAAGAGACTTGAGAAAGGTTGTCACATAATGACAAAAATTAATTTTCAAAGCCAACTATTAAAATTTTGGGCCACACATGCATACAACAGGGATCACTGGGATTCCACAGAAGATGAAAGCTATTGTGGAATTTCCAGCGACCAGGAATATTTCAATATTATAGTGATTCGTGGGTAAAGTGAATCTGTGGGAAAATTCTTACCTAACTTAGACCATGCAAATGAAACTTTAACAGAACCATTGAAACAAGATCAGAGGTCGTATTAGCCTGAGCATCAATAAAAATCATTTCACCAAATCAACGTTTATATTGTTGGAGGTCCTAGCAAATAATGATCCTGAACTTCTACTATAGCAGCAGAAACAATATCCACAGGAGCACCCTTATTTCAGATTCAGGGTGATGGAATAAGACCTGTCTGGAACACTTCAGGGGCTCTCATTAAAACTGAACAATGGAAGGGTGTAATTGAGAAAGAAGCGTTTGCAATAACTTAGGTGTTGGAGAAATTTTCTGAGTATCTTTTAATTAAGATTGAAATTGACTACAAACTATGGTAAATTTATCGAATAAAGCAAGAACACAAAGGTGCCATCCAGACTTCAGAGTTTAATTGCAACTGATGCAGTATAAATCTATTAGAAGTCTGATGTTCATACTCTATCAAGGATGCTCGCTAACTGCCCAGAAAAAAAATGGAAATTTTGTCCAATAAGTTGAAATAATCACAGTCTTAATGGTCTTACCTTCTCGTCACCAACTACAAAGGAGAGTAAGGGTGATAAAACAGCATCCTCATCAGTTGAGCCCATAAAAACAAACTCAAGTGAAAACTAAACTTCAGTACCTGTTAGAGAGCCACTTGGTTGAACTTGGTCAAAGCAGTTTGAGTTCACCAAGTGTTGGTTCCTAACATGGATGGATTGACTAGATTTTGTAAAAGATAAAGAAAGGTGAATGTAGCAATGAAAACAGATTCAGACTTAATTTCACAAATGGAGATTACATTGATAGGGTCAGTAGTTCCTCTTTGGTTTCTAAAATTGATCTATTGAAGGGGTATTGGCAAGTACCATGAACATCAATGGCTAAAGAAATTTCTAGAGATAGTAGGAACTGCCGATGCTGGAGTCTGAGATAACAAGGCCCTGGGGGGGCAGGCCAGGCCAGCATCAGAGGAGCAGGCAAGCTGACGTTTTCGGTCTGGACCCTTCTTCAGAAAAATCTCCAGAAATTTCTACTTTTGTTACATCAAATGGGTTATACCAATGTAATACCAATTGAGTTAAAGAACACCCTAGTCACATTTCAAAGACTTATGAAGAAAGTCGTGGCTGAGGTTTATAGATGCATAGTGTATTTAGATGATGTTGTAGATTATAGTGGCACATGGGTAGAAAGTGTATGTCAAGTCAAAGATTTATCTAAGCAATTATGGCTGGCTGGTTTAGTGCTAAATTTAGCCAGAAGTCAATTTGCTAATTTGCTAAGAGTGACTTACTTGGGACATGAGATTGGACAAGGACAGATGTTGCCAAGGACAATAAAAGTGAAGGCTTTATTGGAACTCCCTGTTCCTAGACTAAAACTAGAAGTCATGAGGTATTTTAGGAATATGTATATTTTATCCGAAATGTATACTTACTTTCAGTATAGTACCTTTAACAAACGTATTAACAAAACAAACAAAAGTAGTATAGTCAGCAGAATACTAAGCAGCATTTGAGAAACTGAAGGCAATCTTAATAAATGAATCAGTGTTGGCCACTCTTGATTTTTCTAGACCTTTTGAAATGGCAATTGATGCCAGTGATTTGTGAGTGGGTGCTGTCTTGTTACAGGGTGATAAGTCGGGATAGAGAAATCAGAGGGGTATTTCTGTAGGAAATTAAACCGGTATCAGAAGAATACTTTACACTGGCAAAGTGTTATTTTCACTTCAGTACTTTAAGTCTATGTCCAACGTGGAAACAGGGAAATACTAACTTGCACTCATCATACTCCACTAGCCTTCTTTGAAAAGTTTGAAAACAGAATGTGAGACTAATCTGATGGAGCCTTTTGTTGAAACAATTTAATGTAAACATTATTCAAATTAATGGAAATGATAATACCATTGTCGAAACATTATCCCAAATTTAAAATGTTATAAGTTGAAATTTAACAAATTCTAAGAGTCTGTCAATTTGTATAATGGGGAAGAAGAATGAATGGATGTAAGTCTTGTTTTGTTACGTATAACACGTTTATAATGAACCACATTTTTAAAAATGGCATTTGATTCTTTTAAGGATGGAGGTTTGTAAGAACTGTATCATTTTATTTTTGTGTCTTTAAAAACTACGGACTGCAATGAGAAAGAAATCTTTTTAAAACAGGGACTAACCAGGATGGCTGTAAGTACTGCTGAGGCTGTATGAGTCTCTGGTCAGGCCACATTTGAAATATTGAGAGCAGTTTTGGACCCATTTCTAAGGAACAATGTGCTGTTGTTGGAGAGGGTTCAGAGAAGGTTCACAAGAATGATTCTGGGAATGAAGCGCTAGTCATATGAGGAACAGTTGAGGACTCTAGGTCTGTCCTCAATGCAATTTAGAAGGATAAGGGGATCTCTTTGAAACTTATAGAATACCGAGAGGCCTGGATAGAGTGGACTTGGAGAAGATGTTTCCACCACTAGGAGAGACCAGAATCCAGGATCACAGCAACAGAGAGAAGGGACAACCCTTTAGAACAGAGATGAGGAGGAATTTCTTCAGCCAGAGTGTGGCGAATCTGTAGAACTCATTGCCACAGAAGGCTGCAGAGACCAAGTTATTTAGTGTAGACAGATAAGTTCTTGTTTAGTAGGGGATCAAGGGTTATGGGGAGAAGGCAGGAGAATGGGGTGAAAAACATATCAACCAAGATCAAATGGTGGAGAAGATACAGTGGGCCGACTGGCCTAAATCTGCTTCTATGCTTTATGGTTTTATAATTTCACAGCAAGGAAAATCATACCTATTGTGAACTCTGATTTTAGGGTGGCAATGGGATCCCATAGTGTACGAACAATCAGGAGCCGAGAAGCTGTTTACAAGTAAAGCTGACTGGTTCTCAGCTAACTGAGCAGGTTAGACCTGGAAATAAATTACGGAGACACAGACACAGAGAGAGACAAAGACACAGAAGTTGTATGTTCTCTGCAGTAAAAACAAAATCAGTTTAAATTTAAGAAATCTTGTTACCTTTCCTGTAGCTATGAGGTATAGTTCTTGCATTGATAAATTAAAGGCATTTTATAAACGGACTATCCAGTCTGTGCCTCTTACAAACCATTGGAAGCACTCAGAGAAAGGCAATTAAACACCATGTGCCAGGCCAGCCAAAGAAGGGTCATCTCAATGTCAAAGCCAGGAAGCAAAGACCACTGAACTGACTTTCCAGTCTTTTTCTACCTCTGATGATAATCAATTTCCATGCACGTGTGTGTGAATTTCTAGGGTGATTACAGTTTTAGAAGTATGACATTTCAATAGTTTATATCTGGTTACCTGTAGTTATAATCTAATTATTTGTAATAAATAATAATCTTATTTGATACGGAAAACTAGTTGTACTTTCGAATCAACCTTGGTCTGAAGGTCGGATAAATTGGGATACTGTGCATACTTAAAAAAAAACTAACATTTGCAAAGACTCCAGGAGCAGTGGGGCTTGATTTACAGGACACTAGTCCAGTTGGTCATATCGCACTTAACAAGTATTTATTGTACTTACATATAAAGTACTGTTGTGTGACAGCAATGGGTTTAATTCTCATAAACTATTTAGGCATAACTCTGGCTTTCAGGAGCGAGGTATGTCAAATCTGTTTCAATCAGGACCTCATGTAAACTAACAGTTTCTCGATCTAAGTAGTGCATGACATAATCGGGGCTTGGCTGGTGTTAATCTAAATTCAAGTGAACACTTTCAGAACCATTAACTTATACATTGTTTCTCTCCAAGCTTTGTTTCCCTTTATTAAAAGTTATACATTCACGTATGTAACTACTTTTACATTTATCATTACTCCATGTCGCCCAAGTCCCCTAAATGCAGGCAGTCTGGAGGTTGGACAATTCTTTCAGAACATATTCCCTTTTAATTTGGCAGCTTGTTGGAAGATTAATAATTCATTGGCTTGAGTTGATATTGATTCTGATTTTCTGTAAATCATTTCTCTACTAGAGTATTTTTTTAAGCTCTTGAACGTTCTTCATGGAGGATGTTGTTCTGGCAAATTTGGGAGTTAAACCATTACTTTATCTGCATGATTCTTAATTTCCTGGATTTCTTTTGCCATTGAAATCTTTCCTGCTATCCCAGGCAATTGCCCAAAACACATCATTTGGAGGTGCAAGTGGTGGAAGTTGGAGATATAATCTTAAAACAGTCATACTGTGGCAACAAGTTGTTCCCTAACTATCCTGGTTATCTGGACCATGCAATTTTTTTTCAATTTGGACAGGTATTTTCATTTTAGCATGACCCATGATGTTAGACTATCAATTTCTTCTTTTTAACTGTTTCCTGTATCTGTACACTTTATTTTGGTTTTCATGACATTGCATGCAGCTCATCTCCATTTTGTTCAAGCAAATCTTTACTCTCAATTTACTGGTTCATCTGATTCAAAGTACATAAGCTCTCTTCTTCAACTTGATGATTACGTTGTGTGTCTTCATTTCTCCTCTTTGAATGTCTTTCTGGTGAACTAAACATTTCTACATCCTTAGTCATGTTACGGGAGGATTGTTGCTCAATCAGCACTAACTTTATCACTGGCATTGACAATTCTACTTTGAGAGACAATGGATTGAAATTTTCTTCATTGTTGTCAGGAATGGAAAGCAGTTCCTCCAGTCAGGGTTCTGATGAAGAGTGAATGGACTCGGACCACTAAATCCACTTTCTTCCTACAGTTGCTGCCAAATCCAGAGTTTTTCCAGAAATTTCTGTTTTCATTTCAGGTTTCCAGCATCCACAGTTCTTTGTTTTATTTTTAGCATTTCCAACAGTTTTGTAAAGTCTGTGACTGTTTTATTTACTTTATGAAACAAATATCTTATGCCAACAAAGGTAAGCTGACTACATGTTTTCTTCTTGGTCAATGATAACCCCAGGACATTGATAGTGGGGGATTCAATGACGGTATCACCATTGAATGTCAAGTGGTAGTGGTTGGATTGTCTCTTTTTGATGATGGTCATAGCCTGGCATTTGTGTGGCGCAAATGTTTCTTGCCAAATTTCAGCTCAAGTCTGCATATCGTCCAGATCTTGTTGCATTTCAACATGGACTGCTTCAGTATCTGAGGAGTCATGAATGGTGCTAAACATTGTGCAATCATCGGCGAACATCCTCACTTTTGAACTTATGATGGAGGAGAGATCATTGATGAAGCAGCTGAAGATGGTTGGGACGAGGACACTACCCTGAGGAATTCCTGCAGAGATGTCCTGGAGCTGAAATGACTGATCTCCAACAACCACAACCACCTTACTATGTGCCAGGTATGACTCCAATCACCAGAGAGTTTTCCCCCTGATACCCACTGATTCCAGTTTTGCTGAGGCTCCTTGATGCCACATTTGCTGAATGTAGCCTTGATGTCAAGGGCTGTCACTCTCACCTCACCTCTGGAATTCAGCTCTCTTGTCTATGTTTGAACCAAGGCTGTGATGAGGTCAGAATGTGAGTGGCCCTGGCTGAACCCAAACTGGGCAT